TAAACAATTGTACACCCTGATCTTTGTATTTGCATACTTGTGATTCACAAAAGGTTTTTAATACTTAAGCTCGTTGTGCGAGAGGAGGGCATCGAGAGCAGTGTGATTCTTTTTCTTGCAACCCCACTTGCATCTCCAGCCACACAAGGAGTTGAAGAGGGCGAGTCGCTTTGACTGCAGAGATATGATCTTTGAAGCGGTGTGAGCTCTTGTGAGGTAAACTGCGTAGCCATCATCCATGAATTCTGCTCCCTGAGGGAAGACCTGCCACACCAGACTCCCGGCACCAGCCCCTCCTTTCCTTGTTGAGTTAAGGGTCATCTTGTAAACTGTATCCAACATCATATCACGGAAAGACGTGTTGAAACCAGGGTCATGTGCAGACACACCAAACTCTGCGAACAGAACCGGCATTCCCAAAAACGTCTCTGCGTCCTCCACATGAGCTTGCATCCACGAGCTAGTGAATTCCAGGAAAGAATCTGATACTGCCTGAGATATCCTACAGTTTGCAATTCATTTACTGCATTTTAGTTATTCTCTGTTTTCAGATTCAAGGCAGTGTCTGTTTCTTGGTATTTTGCATAAAAGACTTACCAGGAATCTGGATAGATGTGAGCCGTAGCAAAATCGATGCCAAGAACCTGATTATTTCTTATGAAGTCGGTTCCGACTTGTGCAGCGTAGGAGTTGGGATTGAATCTGGTTCGCGCTGAGGCAGAGGGACCATAGAAGCCTTCAAGTCCAATCTCCACCAAATGTTTAGCGTCTAAGCTCTTCACGAACACCGCCATCTCTTGTATCCAAGACTGGAAATTGTCCCCGGAGGGATCAGAGGGGCAACGTGGCTCATTCATGAGTTCCCAGGCAAAGATTGTGGGGTCGTTCTTGTAACTGATGTTTGTGAAGGTGTTCACTCTATTCAGCACCGTCTGCAAGGCAGCCACATTCAAGTCACAATTTTGACCGATGGGTAAAAAAAGATGTCCTTTCTGGATAATAAGAAAATGAATTTCACGGATATGGATGAAATAATCACCCGGACATGGGATTTGTAGAAGTCTCTGAGGGTGGGGTTGGTGAAGAAGTCGTCATCGGAGGTGAGATTAAGGCCGGAGGCCTTGCCCCATTTAACGTACTGAGCTTTGCCTCCATATGCGTCCCAGTTGTTGACCAATGACAGTATAAGTCTGATCTTGTACTTTCTGGCCTCGCTCACCACGAAGTCTAGGGCCTGCCCAGTTGCTCAAAGCTTTAATAAACAGAAGATAGTCTTCAAGGAAAAAGGTTAAGGTGTTGAGATATACCTTGAAGACATCTTCATCGTAAACAGAAGGAGATGTCTGGAGAGCTCTCCATTGGCCGTCGTTGAAAGCCCATGTCCTGCCTACGGTCAGTCCAACCGCAGAGGCTTGCTGGAACACTTCCGTCACTTTGCCTCTGGTGGAATTGTCAGCTGCAAGAGTCATCATCCAGTATGTGTTGAAGCCATTCACGTAAAAGGGTTGTCCGTTTAGGGTGAATTGCATCCCTTTCCGCTGCACCATCTCCCATTCTTCTTCTACTAGTGATTCTGAGTTAACCCTGCAAAAGCAATCTACATCTGTCATTCTTCCCTACAAAATAATTCCGAGATGAATGTGTGAATGATCGTTAAGTAGTACCCATGGGACTCGCTGTCAAAGTCTGCAAAAGCTCTGTTTTGTGTTAGAATCATGAAAACCGCAGAGCAGAGCACAATTTTGAATCCAAGACGGTCCTTCATCTTCGCAGGTTTATGGATGAGAAGGGAGCTCCACTCTTCAACTGGTTGCATGTTAAGGTATATATCCATACCAACAAGGCCAATAAAACATGGACTCGTTCCATTATTAAAATAATCCAAAACTTTAACTTAAAAGGCAAGGGAATATATTCATACCTAGGTTTCAGCGATCCCTTCCAAAACCAGAGAGATGAAGCTTAAAGCACATAGTTCCTAGGTATCAATCAGAAGACTGAAATGTGAGACAACTCCAAAGTAACCTGTCACTGCCAAGTTAAGATTCGAAGTTAGCTGACATGTCAAACTCAGTTTCTTCCGTGCAAGCTTCAGACAAACCCCTACCTTAGCGTCATTTTCACAAAGAAGGTCTTCTGCGAGGGTAAAAGTGAAGAAAATCCGGCAAAAAGACAATTTACCGTTGTACCGGCATGTCCTCCACTTTTCTTTTCTTTTTGGATTTCGGTTTCAGCACGAAATTGCACAGTGTGATCATAAAGCTAAATCCTCTTTCGTGTGAAATCTCAATTGCCGCAAATAGAAATATGGAACTCGTGTCTTTGCAGTATAACAGAAACGCTACTCTTTCTTATTTCTTTTTAGCAAATTTGCACCCGTTAAACAACTTCGATTAGGGATACACTGGAAAAACATCTAACAAATTTCTCCGACAGCTATTGTCAAGAACATCTTCTGCTCCAAGATTATACAACTAACAATCAAAATCAGAAGAGATATCATATCGAAGAAACCACTATAAATGTTACAATGGAGCCTTGCATATTATATCCAGCAAGTAGCTCTTAAAGTTCCATATCTTTGTGAGTTATTCACAGTGGATTCGGTTCTTTGATCGATGCTACTAAACCACACTGCACAAGAACAGACACAAATGAAACGAGATCAATATATACAGGTGTCACTTTATATCTCCTCATCTTTCTCCTGATTTTTAAACACAGCAATCAGATACTTGCAGAGATGATTTTATTTACCATCTCACACCTGAGAGTGAAAAGACCATTGTCTTCTCCAAGAGCTGTGCCAGGACTTTTGCAGCAGCTGCAGATTACGAACGCGTCTAAGACCCAACGAATACATGTCAGACAAGACTCTCCCACTGCTAAAAAAAAACAGATAAAATACATAATGGAACTTACCAATGTATCTCCGGAACACAGCTTGGAAATCCTTAGAAGACACTAAGCCCTGCATCTCTAGCCGCTGCTGTTTGTCCAGCGATCCCTTTGTCTCCATTTGGCCGAGTAAGAAGTTCATGACATGACCTGGCTTCCTATGCATCCTGAACAACATTACTTTAAAACTGATACACAGCTACAAGTCCACATAAAGATCAATTAGGAAACAAAGCAAGTCGTACGTTCTGCAGAGATGAGCAAAGTTTAGACAAACTGTTGTCTGTGTCCCTTCTGCAAGGAGCCGTGGAGACATCATCGCTGTTCTTGGTCTATCTGTAATAATCTCGAGATCGTCCTCACGAATCAGGTCAAACACCCTCCTCAAGAGCTGCAGAGCATAGAAAAGCTGGTATCAAATAATAAAAAAAAAAAAACTAAGTAATAGTCAAACTTACCAAACAAAAAGCATTATCAAATTCTCAGCTAAAAGAACCTCTTCATAGCCATAATCCGGCTCAAAGTGTCGTGCTTTATGTAAAAAGATGTCGTCTTCGCGTATTAGAGG